ATTTTTAGAACGATTTTGGTCCGAATTAATTAATTAAGAAATATGGGGAATGGCTATCATAACGTATTTGAAGTTGATGGTACAAATATTCGTTTCGAAATACTTCATAAGTTTAGTATGTATATGTATAATAGGTTTTAAAAATGATATTAAAATACAAAGATACAAAAAATGATAATTTCTAAATAGCTATCGAAAATAAAATACTTATATGTCTCAAACGTGTCGTCGTTAAATGTATAACACTAACTTGGATATCAGTTTTCACCACAAACTATTTTTGTGGGTTTCGAGAAAGCAAGTCATATTGCAGTACAATCTGTTTCGATTTAATCAAGGATAAAAGGTAGTCGTTTTCACTTATGTCAAGCTCGATATCGAAAAATACAATTTTTTGGTCTTTCCACTGAAGGCAGAACAAAATTAGACCTCTCGTGTCTTAATCCTAACGATGTCGTTTATGTTTTCACTGATACTTAATGGTTCTTCTTCCGGAAAAGAGTGAATGACTTTTGCGATTATATACTAGAAAATTATATATCTGAAGAGGCGGTTTTTTCTCCAAAAATATCAGCAGAGTTTTCTTGTTCGACTTGATACTAGTTTAATATTTTCCTACAGAAGCATGACTGTATTTTCAAATAACCCTCCACTAATCTACACTTAGCTCAATCTCGACGATGGGAAATTATTAAGCTCAAATATCTCAAGTATTTTTTTGGGGGAAGCGAACCTATAATTGCCCTCCACCCCCACGGGTTCTTACTTGTATGAGAAAAATTGAATGATTTGGTTTCTAATATGATAAAATATGTATTCGTGTTGAATATTATGTTCATTTAAATCTCCTTCATTTGATTAATTTTGTAAGCAGGAACATCATAACAACAATGGATCTTCAAAGTAGCGTTTTAGTAATTTCGTTTGTTTAAACTTTATGCATTTTTCACACAATTATCACATGTTTTATGGAAATGAGTATAATATAGCAATTATATATTTTTACTATTCATAGTTTCCAGAAACAGACATGCATCCATTTGTATAGGTATTGTGTACCAGACACTTTGTTGTTTTTCTCATAGCGGTTTCTATGAATAAATATGGGCACTGTAGATTTGGGCTGAGAATAAACATTTTCTTTTAAATAAAAATAAAATTAAAAAGTAGGTTACCAATACTCTTACTCGCATTAAGAGCAAAACTGACAAATCCCAACGTTGATGTATCCGATAATAATTCAACTAATCCTCTGCAGAATGGCTGAAGTTAATTAAGATACAAAATGACAAAATTAATACTTTCTTTGCACATGATTATTATGGTACAACAATTCTTGCGACAAACGTTATTGTGTGATATCTATATGATAATGTTACGACAGCGTTCATACAGTTTAATTAACACATTTTCGAAAAATTTTTATGTAATGTATACTTTTCATAACATCTGGCCTCATGCATGTAGGTATGTCCCTTTGCCTTTGAAACCAACAACATAATAATTAATTAACGTAATAATCATTCAGGTAGCTGCATTTAAAGGATAATTAACCTCATGTTAACTATATGAAACAATACTTTGGTTTACTTAACATTAGGAACATGACCTTAAGTTTAATTTTGAACGTAAGATAAATGTGACCCTAAATTAGAACTCTACGGGACTCAAGAAATTACCGCACCATCTTGGCCTAATTGTCAGCTCAATTAATTACTTATTAATGAACCTATATTTAGCATAATTTACTTATTGTTGCAATCCATGCATGTAATGTGTGCCCTGAATAGCCATGTTGAGCAGATTAGTTATCAGAAAATCTCTCTCGATAATGTTAGCTATATTATTATATCAACATGACAGTGTGACCAAAACATTTGATTAATAAAAAAAGGACTGTTCCTTAGCTGAGAAAACACCTTCCTGTTGGAATTTCACTAGTTACAATAACAGCTACAATATGCGATATATCATATATATATTATCAAATTCAACAGTTTATGACCACTTGAAAGGCCTGGGATTATCCTCGAAGCTCGATGTATGGGTTCCCCATGTTCTCACAGAGAGAAATCTGTGTCGCCGCATTGACGTCTGCGATTCGCTTCTCAAACGTCACGAAAATGATCCGTTTTTGAAGCGCATCATCACTGGGGACGAAAAATGGGTTGTATACAACAACGTCAAACGCAAGAGGTCATGGAGCAAAAAAGATGAACCGGCTCAAACCATTTCCAAAGCCGATATTCACCAAAAAAAGGTGATGCTGTCTGTTTGGTGGGATTTTAAAGGAATCGTTTTTTTTTAGCTTTTACCGGATAACACAACGATTAATTCGGAAGTCTACTGTCATCAGCTGGACAAACTGAATGATGCACTTCAACAGAAAAGGTCAGAACTAATCAACAGGAAAGGTGTAGTGTTTCACCAAGACAACGCGAGACCTCACACAAGTTTGGTCACTCGCCAAAAGCTTTTACAGCTTGAATGGGATACAATGCTACACCCACCATATTCTCCAGACCTGGCACCATCGGATTATTATTTGTTCCGGTCACTCCAAAATTTTTTAGACGGTAAAACCTTCACCTCAAATGAGGAGGTCAAAAACCTCCTCGATCAGTTTTTTGCCAGCAAAGACCAAAAATTTTATGAGCGTGGAATTATGCTACTACCAGAAAGATGGCAAAAGGTGTTGGACCAGAACGGTCAATATATAATTTAATAAAGTATTTGTTTATTATACGAAAACTGTCTTTCATTTTCAAAAAAAAAAAACGAAATGACTTTCCGAACAACCCTATAATTATCTTTTTGTAACATGAAAACAGACAAACTCAAACCTTTCCAGCAAATAAGTATTTATCTATTACCTATATATTTTCAATAACTGAAGTAATTAGATGAAATATCTGTAAGGCCGAAGTAGATTATATATTAAATATTTACATACCTGTATTTCTTGTGCTTGATCATCGATGACATTCTGTTGCTGTTTGATGCAATTTTCTAGTTCTTTATTTCTTTCTAACAGAGTTTTTCCTAATTCTGCGGCCAACTGGAGATCTGAAAAGAAATAAAAACTAATATGAGTATACGAAGAAGTTTAGCAAAACAAACTGTTTCTGAATGTAAAATCTGTCGTTTATGATAGACTGGCAGATACTGTGAAAAAATTATAACAATATAAGACATTAATAGCAATAGTTCACTAATTTGAGGATCAAAGAAAATCATTTTATAGTTACATTATTACCATGTCCTAACTACATGTCATGTCATGTCATCGAAAATACAATATTTTGATAAATTCGTTCTAACCAAGTTCATCAGGGTAAAAATAAAGTTTCTAATTAACTAAGTTAAACATATACTTTACGTCGAGCGACAAAAATACTGTCCTTTATTCTGGGGAACAGTACATATTTTTCTGGATAAAAGGTACCCTATATCCTTATTTGTACCTCTAACAATATGTGTACAAAATTTCAGGATAATCGGTTTAGCCGTTAAGGCGTGAAACAGTAATAAACAAACAAACTCAAATATACTTTTATAGTAGACTTTCAGTATGCAGCTAGTTAAAAGTTATCTATTCAAAAATGTCAACATTGTAACATTTCGAAAATGGATGACTTATTGGATCCAAAGTTCAAGATCAACAACTACAGCAAGGTCTTTTAGCTTCCGCTGTTTCAGGCTTTTATACAAAATGTGAATGTCTGTACATAATTGACGTATAATGGATATTCAATGTAAGAGAGATTATTCACTTCCAATTGAAATATTACAATGATTTGCTCAAATTCGTACAAAAGACCTATAATTATTTAGTAGTACTTTGGTAATTGCTACAAAAGCAACCACTGAAAAATTTTAAACAACCAAAAGTTTAATTCTTTAAAACAAAGAGTGCTTTGTCATAATCTTGCTTAAAACTTCTAGTTTTTAGGTAACAATTATTATAGGTAATTATCGTTCATTAATCAAGATCATTCAAACTCCAGTCACTACACATTTCAAGTAGTTTTAATGATAATACATTGTAGGTAATTAACAATAACTGTACACAACCGTGGGCAATAATACAATAACTGTTAGTTTCTTTACCTGAAGACACCGTTATCATGGCACAATGCGTGCATAACAATGCTATGAACAAGTATGAAGTACAAGATTATCACATTAGTTTTTTGTTACGTTTCAAATATGCGCCAATAATAACTCTTAGTACTCTTTATTGCATTAAACTATTTAATAAAATTAATCTTGACGGTACCCATAATTCGAGCGAATCATGAACATTTAGTAGATAATATTATCCTTTGGGAACCGGTCATTTCATTTGCATATTTCACACCAAATCGTAACTCGCTGTGGATACATTTCCGTTTCATGAATTGAATGAGGTTTTTATGATCCACAAATATGGCTTATTGAGAAAACCGTTTAAGTGGAAGTTTGTGAAGCCGTAATCAACAATGTAAGGAAGAAAACTGATGTTGTCCTGATTCGGATCTAAAGGCCGTCGTTGGTTCCTAACGTCTCGCTAGCACGAATGGCGAGGTCCTTCCATTTCCAAAGCTGGATTTGGACAATCTAAAGGCAACTCCAACCAACGACTGCTTTAGACCTGAATCAGGACAGCATCAGTTCACCTACTGACCGCTGAAGACCGCAAATAGAGGCAATGATGCCCAGCCACGTGTAAAGCAGAGGTAAGAAAAATAACAGCTGAGCACAGCACACGCCACCGGGACTCTAGCGGACTCTCCGCTTTTTCGTGACAGAAAAAATTGTAATACTCCGTTGTCTATATTAAAATTTCACTTCGAATATATTTACAGTAAATCGTTACACCTTTTTTCGAATATTATGTGGGATCCAGTAGCAGGTCTTTACAACATTTTGTCTTAATGCAACAATTAAAATGATGGCACACGGTGCACTGTTGAACTGAACAGAAACTATTAACTATAGTTATCAAAAGCGGCTGGTAAGAAACTAGTTCCATGCAGTCCAACCGCATAACGGAAATTAATTATACTTTTGTTAAATGAGAACTCGTATTATTTGAAACTGGATGTAATCTATATACTGTGAATGTATTAATTACAAAACTCTCGCCAAACGTTTGCAAAAGGACATGAAAGAGGAAGTAAAGTTTTAATCTGCATCACGGCAGGAAATAAGAATGTTTTCTAAAACGTTCAAATGGAAAAATCGATATCAATCATAATCCTAATCAGACCATAGCCGTACAGGACATTTGCATCTTGGCATTGGAAGATTCGGCTTATTGTAAACAGAACCATCATTTTGTAATGATCCACGTAAACAGGAGTTACCTTATAAACAAGGAACCGGAAATACTTCAGAAATCTGTAACCTCTGCGAGTTTAAGAGTCGCTTTTTGAAACTCATCGTAAACTTACCCTGCTTAACCCACAACAACATAAACTAACATAACCAACGTTGGGTTACCCCCTTCCCAATACCAGTTTTTTCGTTCAACAGCCCAATAAAATGGTTATACTGAAAACAATTCCACACAAAAATTGTAGGCAATTCAAAAACCTTCAAACTAAGTTATAATTTCTTTAATTTTATCGAATAGTTTTTCATATTTTTGAGGAATTGATGAAGTTCTTTTAACTCTAAATCGAATGGAGTTTGCTGCTGTGACGTTAAATGTTTATTGTTCTAAATTCTTTTTGAAGGCAAAGACAAATATATTCGGATATTTTTAAAACTTAAAGCCACTTTAGTTAAAGCAATTAAAAAATGAATCTGGCGGCATTCGATAGTCGTAGATAATCCTACTTGACACTTGAATCCTGCCGTTTTTTTTACTTACCTCAGCAACAAATTACTTCATCGTGATGCCTTAAAAATATGCACAAAGTTATTCCAATAGTGAATAATGGCAATTTTCAACCTATTCTGTCATTTTCACAATAAATATTCTACGAAATTGAACTTTTCACTGTTCAAATTGAAGGTTTTTGAATTATTTGCAACCTTTAGGTCATACTTTTAGCATATTTCAGTTAATAAATCTTCATTTTTGCCATTATGGTAAATGCAACTAGCACTTGAATTTAATGGTTGATTTTGAAAACAAGAAGTGTATTACAAAATGGAAGTAATTATCAAAAATAACATTAGAATAACGTTTATTTTTATTTAACAATATAGGTACACTGTTAAATCATATCACTACATATCATTCGCATTGTTAGAGTGACTATAATAATTCCTGTTTCCTATTTTTCGTGTGGATAAAATTTGATTCACGTTATTGTATGAAAATAAAATAAGCAAAAAAAGTAAATAAGGAGAAAGTAAACAAATTTGCACATCTGATCTCGAAAGTACAAAATCGCATTTTTGTACAGGTGCATGGTGAAAAAATATCTATGTTACTTTTTAATCAGTGAAATGAAGTAATTTAGTTCAGTGAGGTATTTGTTAATTTCTAGAGCATAGCTAATATTGCTTGGATAGTAATACGGATACCTTTACTCGCAGAAAGGAAAAAAGAACATTTTTCTGAATGTATGGTGTTGTTTCTACACATCTAAAATACAAATGTCACCGGTTAATTGAACAATTAAGTGCCGATATATGAAATTGCCCTCTCAATTCTTGTATCACTTTACAAATGAAAGTTAAATTATACTAAAACGGTCTCAGTTGCCAGCATACTTTGATAAATAATAAGCGGTAAACTCGGTAAATACCACAGTATAAATAGAATTTTATAATTTTCACGATAATATGCCTAGAATTAGTAAATACAGATTTTCTGTAAGGATCTAACGGAGTCATACTTTAACACATTCGGAAAACTAGTGCCAATACAGGATAAAAATTCGTCGAGATTTGTCATATGAGAGATATACAAGAACAAATGGGTCTATCACGCATCACATTAGTGTTTTGATCTACAAACTGCATATTTCGTTAAAATTTCAAATAATTCACAATCAAGTGCATTTCTTTAATGATCTAATGCCACACACAACCATTTAAAATTCTGGCATAGAAACAATCTGAAGAAAAGTGCGCAAAACTTTTTATATTAAAGAAATAAAACTGTTCTTACTGAGAAAACCGTTTAAGTGGAAGTTTGTGAAGCCGTAATCAACAATGTAAGGAAGAAAACTGATGTTGTCCTGATCTAAAGGCCGTCGTTGGTTCCTAACGTCTCGCTAGCACGAATGGCGAGGTCCTTCCATTTCCAAAGCTGGATTTGGACAATCTAAAGGCAACTCCAACCAACGACTGCTTTAGACCTGAATCAGGACAGCATCAGTTCACCTACTGACCGCTGAAGACCGCAAATAGAGGCAATGATGCCCAGCCACGTGTAAAGCAGAGGTAAGAAAAATAACAGCTGAGCACAGCACACGCCACCGGGACTCTAGCGGACTCTCCGCTTTTTCGTGACAGAAAAAATTGTAATACTCCGTTGTCTATATTAAAATTTCACTTCGAATATATTTACAGTAAATCGTTACACCTTTTTTCGAATATTATGTGGGATCCAGTAGCAGGTCTTTACAACATTTTGTCTTAATGCAACAATTACAATGATGGCACACGATACACTGTTGAACTGAACAGAAACTATTAACTATAGTTATCAAAAGCGGCTGGTAAGAAACTAGTTCCATGCAGTCCAACCGCATAACGGAAATTAATTATACTTTTGTTAAATGAGAACTCGTATTATTTGAAACTGGATGTAATCTATATACTGTGAATGTATTAATTACAAAACTCTCGCCAAACGTTTGCAAAAGGACATGAAAGAGGAAGTAAAGTTTTAATCTGCATCACGGCAGGAAATAAGAATGTTTTCTAAAACGTTCAAATGGAAAAATCGATATCAATCATAATCCTAATCAGACCATAGCCGTACAGGACATTTGCATCTTGGCATTGGAAGATTCGGCTTATTGTAAACAGAACCATCATTTTGTAATGATCCACGTAAACAGGAGTTACCTTATAAACAAGGAACCGGAAATACTTCAGAAATCTGTAACCTCTGCGAGTTTAAGAGTCGCTTTTTGAAACTCATCGTAAACTTACCCTGCTTAACCCACAACAACATAAACTAACATAACCAACGTTGGGTTACCCCCTTCCCAATACCAGTTTTTTCGTTCAACAGCCCAATAAAATGGTTATATTGAAAACAATTCTACACAAAAATTGTAGGCAATTCAAAAACCTTCAAACTAAGTTATAATTTCTTTAATTTTATCGAATAGTTTTTCATATTTTTGAGGAATTGATGAAGTTCTTTTAACTCTAAATCGAATGGAGTTTGCTGCTGTGACGTTAAATGTTTATTGTTCTAAATTCTTTTTGAAGGCAAAGACAAATATATTCGGATATTTTTAAAACTTAAAGCCACTTTAGTTAAAGCAATTAAAAAATGAATCTGGCGGCATTCGATAGTCGTAGATAATCCTACTTGACACTTGAATCCTGCCGTTTTTTTTACTTACCTCAGCAACAAATTACTTCATCGTGATGCCTTAAAAATATGCACAAAGTTATTCCAATAGTGAATAATGGCAATTTTCAACCTATTCTGTCATTTTCACAATAAATATTCTACGAAATTGAACTTTTCACTGTTCAAATTGAAGATTTTTGAATTATTTGCAACCTTTAGGTAGAAAAAACTTCACATTCGACCTAACTTGGTGCGTTTTGTTTTGGTCTTGGCTTGTGTGGCAGCTTCCATTGGGAATTTCAGCTTTGGTTTCCACGTTATAACCATAAACCCGTGATTCGTCACCAATTATGACCTTTTGAAGCAAATTTAGGTCGTCGTGGACTGAGTCCAACACCTCCTTAGCAATGTTAATATGAGATGCTGTTTTTGATCAAAATTGGTACGAATTACACGGCAACCTGTCTCATTCCCAAATCAATGGTAAAAATCGAATGGTAGGAGCCCATCGATATGTTTAGGTCATCAGCAACTTATCTAACGGTGAATCGACGATTGACCAATACTATTTTCTTCACTTCATCAATGTTTTCGTCTGNGGACATTCAATATAAAATAAAACAGTATTTTTTCTGAATAGTCATAAAAGTATTTGACAAAATTTAGATGAAAAAAAGTGATTTAGAAAATAAATCACATAATATATGAGAAATTTATTGTATTAAAGCATTAAAAGAATTATTTAAAGTTGTTTCTAACAGCGCATTTAAGCGAATCTATTAATTGTCATAAAAATAATCGTTTAAAATCACAAGACAAATACGAATAAACAACAAGAAAAACCGGTTGTTTTACCCTTATGAATTGCACAATTGCATTAGTGGTATGTTGAAATGAAGACTGTAAACACATATAGAAATAGAAACAAAGTAGGTAATACACCTAATGTTGATGAAAATCTACTTATTTTATGAACAGCATAGTGGTCTTACATGGTCCATAAATGTATTCAAATATGGTACCAACGAAACTGTTTTATGCTGTCAACTTGATAAGATCATAGCGACATTACAAAATTATTCCTATACATAATTTCCACCTACATAAAATAGTTTGTTCAACATAAACTAAAGTAAATATCCTTGTACTTTTTTGATCATTTGGATAGTGCTACGATGATTTTTTTTTATTATTGATGCTATTGTTCTTGAAACAGTAAAAAAGGTAAATTGTACATATGTATGTCTATTCTATCTACAAACTCCACATTTCTTTAGTGCTACACACAACCATTCAAACAGTTAAAACTTTTTATATTAAAGAAATAAAACTATTTTGTTTTTTAATGTTTTAGTTTCACTCTACAATTGTTTCGGCTTTTTAGGCCTTTATCAATAGTAGTTATGTAGATTCACCCACCTATTTCAATAAATAATTTCACAAATAGAATTCGAAACTACCGATAGTACCCCTGATACACGCCTAAAAAGCTGAAACAACTGTAAAGTGAAACTGAAACATTAAAAAGCAATATACATACTTTTATTTCTGTAATATTAGAAAATGTTTCAATGTTTGCTACAAACAAAAGCCTTTTACCTACTCTTCTGATTTTACTTCCAACTTGATAAGATCGTAGCGACATTACAAAATTATTCCTATACATAATTTCCACCTACATAAAATATTTTGTTCAACATAAAGATCATGTGGATGGTGCTACGATGAACTTATTCAATGCTTTTGATTTTTTTTTACCATAAAGCTAGCACATTGAAATGGTCGATCGTCCCGCACTCTTTAATGAACGTAGAATCCCAAAACTTTTTTAATTTGATATAGTTATGACATCTACAAGCACTTGCAACCTTTACAAATATCATTCCTCCAACTTTTGTGTATATATCCTTGCATTTACATTGGTATCTATTGTAATACTTAAAAATGCCCATCAATATTACCTAACAAAAAAAACACTTATTATGTATGTAATTTTATAAACTATTGTCCATATTCTATTTTCCGGACTTGTTGTACCTTGTTGAGATCTGCCTATTAAATGGGTTTTATATCGAATGTCTTAATTTCACAAACATAATTAAAGTAAATACAAGAACGTTTACGTAAGTAATAATTGTATTAGACAGAAACGATGTTGCAAATATTTCAATTAAATACGAGTCCATTTATCGTGAGTGCAATTTTAGTTTTTACGCAACGTGTAGTTGATGATGAATAGAGACAACTTCCAGTCAAGTTGAATTGCCTTCATCTTTGAACAATTAAAATAACTGATTCACGAATCGCGAGACACAATATTTTCACTATTATTACTGTAAAAACACGTCTGACCGCAAGAAAGTGCTTTTAAATTATTTTTAAGTCACTCATCAACTATCGGAAATGCCTCGTTTCTTGTGAATGGCATTCTATTGAGCAAGTTTTGCAACCTAAAGAATGCAATTTACGACAAGAAAAGTTATTCTATCAACGCTTAGTTTAGTATCTTCCAATTCGTTACGAAATTTTTTTTTAAAATATGTATTAGTTTTTAGATTTCCGCAGATGATATCTCAATAGGAAAAGTGAAACCTTTGTAATAAGTTTATTGACCCTTTCGTTACTAAAAACATAAAAATATTTATTTGAAAATTAAAGAGGGGACAAGTTATAGGTACTTCTAGCATTTCGTGCTAAGGACTAATTGTGAGGACTTTAGCTTAAAGTAAGCATATGCAGAAAATATTCTCTCCCTTTATTACTAAAACTACTAAGCCAAAAATTATTAAATTGGCATACATTTTATACGACTGTATTTAAATATTACGGGAAAACTGTATAATGAAAGTTTAAGACTTTAAAATTATAGATAAATTGACGATTTTAAATTACCTACCAACAAATTTTATATTGTAGTCAGTGTAAGTAAGTAAAAAACTAAAGAAATCTCTCCGGTTTTTCAGGTTTCTATACTGTCAACCTTCAGAAAATCATAGGTTCCTAAAAGGTGTTCCGCGGAACCCTGAGGTTCCAACAGTCAGAACGTTTTCGTCATAATAAAAATACACAAAATTCTGCGAAAACCAATGGTTCTGTATTTAACCATAAAAACGATATATTCTTCATGACTAAACCAACAGTAAAAAGCAGAACCCTAACTGTTCATTTTATGATAGGAACGAAGACTACTATTTTTGTGAAAGAAATGTACAAAGATGTCAAATGAGACAGGACATTCGGTCTTACGTTCAGATGCAATTGATTGGATAGAACTGTTCATTGTAGAAAATGAGTTACAAGTTACCTCAGGTGTGGATAAAACCATAAATGAGCATATAGAACCTCAAAAAATCCTTGAAAGAATATTTTTCAGAAGAGTTACAGAGCATCCATGCACTGAGTACAGAATCCATTCTCTAATTAAAGCAACCATCAATGTTAACATGTGTCGGAGGTATGAGAATTTAATTGATATTAAGAATTCATCATCTCTATTAAAACAAAATTTCGAATCACCTAATTCAAATTTGACTGACTTTTGGATCGAACTTAAAGATGAATACTCTGCAGTCGTTGAGAAGGCTATCATGGTTTTGTATCCATTTCTATCCACTTACAGATGGGGAACAAGCTTTTCAGCTTATGCCTGCACCAAAAGAAGTAGTCTGAAGGACGCTCTAGAAATTTGAATTCATTTGTCGGACAGTAATGCTAATTTGAATGTTATTATATAAGTAAAAATGTGCAAATATTTAATTTTTCACGTTTAATTAAATACGTGCAATAAATATTATGAATTCAAAATGTCAAGGACCTTAGATATAAAATTATTGTCAGTTTACTGTTCTTTTATCAAGATGGGTCACTAAAGGTACAGTAGCAAAAAAATATTGGGAACCGTTGCACTACATAGTAGGTACCTTTTAGGTGGATTACTATCTCAGAATGGATCAAACATCATAGTTAGCACCACATAAGGAATCCATGCACAGAGACAATTTATAACGTAAAGCCTTTATCCGAATCTCGAGTTAGAGAAAATTTCGAAAATGGAAAAATTCTGATTAAAGATTAAATTAATTTATTTAAAACAGAGGTCAAATTAAATAAGCATTCTCAACACTTCAGTTAAGTGTCGGATAAAAACTGATCACGTAGCAAAATTAGGCAAGCAGAAAAAATCAAAGCCAACCCATTAGTACATCAATTCCCAGAAACCTTGAAGAGAGTCATAAAACTGTACCTTGAGTTCCTTGAAGACATTCCAGCTCTACTGAGTAATCCCAACAGTCCAAAGAACTCAAATTCTGCAAAGAATCAGTTTCTCTTTCGCCCATTTTCATTTGAACCCTACTTTATTATTTTTCATACCGATAACAATTATCGTGGAAAACTTTACATTTCACGTTAATCGTCATATTTTTGCATTTTAACCTTCAATACAAATACTGTATTTAATTTACGGTATTTATTCTGTAACTAATTCTCAACCCCGATTATTTTTTTTATAATTACAAGAATTTAATTGATTTGATAATAGATACATGTATTTGCTACTACATTGTGAATTAGGCAATTAAAGTTAATGTGGAACGTAAACAGCAATTTAGTTTGGTTTCGGTAAAGTTGCACAATAAAAATTAAAAGCGAAGCGATAAGCGAGCGAGCGAATAAATGATCGATCTATAATAGGTATTGATTTTTCCGATCGCGATCGTAATGCGTTACAGCGAGAGTACAAGTACATTGATCTAAACTGCCGGTTCAACAGCGACTAAAGAGTGCCGACAGGTAACCGTGCAGGTATACCGCGAGCGGCTCAGGCAACTCAAGCACCAGCTTTACACCAGGAAAAGGAGTACGGTCGGAAAAGCTCTCGCACGTGACCAAACTTGACGACGCGACGTGAACAGCTCAGCAATTAATGATTAAATCGGCGCTAACTTGTGTCTTTCCAAAGAAAAAAAAGATCTCATATCCCACCAGTGACCCTTTGATATAAAACAAGCCTTTTATCGAAAGAGTTGACCCAACTAACGAAAATATATGTCTTTTTTGGAAATTATTTATGTTAAAGAGAGATTACATGAAGTTTAAGATAATTTTATGACATAATGAACGTCTGACGTATCAAACTAAATTTTAACTAATATAAATACAGTAATAGAATGAAGAAAATATCGAGGGGAGAGCTTAGAATACAGACAGTTTTTGAAAATACCCTCCAGTTTTGCACCGAACGAAGATCAAGAGAATCAACTACCCCTTACATGCACAAGAACAAATAGCTTAATTGAACATTGAAAAGTACCCAAATGGATGACTCTTCTCTGTAGATATGTTCTTTTCTTATATATCTACACAAACAAAATTTTGATGTACAATAGTTGTAATAATAATACCAACAATTAAACTATGATCCCCGCAGAGCGGTCAATCTACCCTCGGTGCTGATGTGGAAGCTAAGTTGTTAACAAGAAATTATAGAATAATCACTCACCACAGTCACTTTACCTGGAACAGTGACAACCTCAAATAAAATAATCTGTTTTAAAACAGTGAACTCAATTTTCGTAATTTTGACCTGTATTTCCATCAAGTATTTATGTTAGAACCAAATTACTGCACTAAGCAGCCGATTTGAAATTAAATATGTCTGAAAGCATTTTAACATTAAAAGAGATCCAAATTTCCCAAAAAGACCGTATTCTCTTTTAATATATTAGTGTTGCCGATGTTTTATGAAAATATTGACGAAACATTTGAAAATAATAAATAATAGCACTTTTAAATGTTTCAAGAATACAATTTATTTCAACTCTACAATTATTTCGCTATAGTAATAATTGTACCTGTTCAAATTATTATTAAGGTATTAAAGTGTATCATTAAAAAATATATCAAGCATATAAATGTTCAATACCTGCACTGAACTAATGTTAATACGTAACACCGAAAAATAAAATATTGTGTATAAAATTGTTTTTGTTTCAATTGAACCATTGAAAATTACTGGTTCATGGACCACATTAACCACAGTGGATGACAAGGTCATCTAACCTGCCTAATTTCTTGCTTCAGTAATTCCTTATTAATGAAAATAACAAAGCCCCACTATCAACAATGAATTGAAGCATACTAAACGAACATATTCGTTCGCAAAGGCAACCGATTAAATTTCAATTTGTTTAATTATATTCAACAATAAATTGGTTCCTCTACCTGTACTATTATTAATACAACTAATTCAAATTGCTCTCTGTTGTTTACCTTAATCATTTTCTTAATTACTGCACATATTACACTAAATAAACATATTTAACTGCTTATGATTATCTACGTTTATTATTTATTTGACATGCATGCATTTAAGATACAAATGTAAAACACAAAATACCTATTTCTATTTTGCATTTAAATACTTTTCCTAGAAAGGCATTTCGTATTATATTCTAATTTGAATGTTATTATATAAGTAAAAATGTGCAAATATTTAATTTTTCACGTTTAATTAAATACGTGCAATAAATATTATGAATTCAAAATGTCAAGGACCTTAGATATAAAATTATTGTCAGTTTACTGTTCTTTTATCAAGATGGGTCACTAAAGGTACAGTAGCAAAAAAATATTGGGAACCGTTGCACTACATAGTAGGTACCTTTTAGGTGGATTACTATCTCAGAATGGATCAAACATCATANTATAAGATGAGGTTTTCATATTTAATTTTTGTGGGACTTTTTACATTTTTCGCTTTACATTCTATTAATTCCTTAAAACGGAATTTAATGCGATGATTCACATACCTTTAGCTACACGTACTGAAACCAAACTGTGCTAAGTTTTCGTGCATAATGATAATTTAACAAACTTGCCCAAACCGACTTCGTGAGGAAATTTTAACTACGAACAAACAAGTTCTGTCACACTAGTCATCATCAAAATAATAAAAAGAAGTTGTTTATTGCCTCGCCATTTTTCTACAAGGTGTTAAGTGGCGTTACCTTCAAGTTGTAATAATAATGATTAAAAGGACGATAACTTTTGGAAAATGAGTTTCCATGACACAAAGAAGGGATGGGAACTGGGTCTATTTTGACCTCAATAACAGGAATCTTTATAAATGCAAGAAAAGATAAAAAATACTCGTTAACATTTGAAAATACAATAGACAATATACATTTAACATAGTTTGCCTTAGTACCTTTGACAAATATTGAGTAAACTTAATTCCTTTCACTAAAATATCTAAAAGATAACATTTTTTGTGGTTTTAGCTGGCTGTCTTATATAGAACGCAAGGAATTAGTTAAAAGGAAATCTTGCGTCGCAAAATGCCAAATATTTTCACTGCGATAGCTGTAATGCTAGAAAAACTTTAAGTGATATAAAATAAAATATGGAAATATTTAAATGTTTAAAATCTAAAAGTTCTTATTCGGCGTTAAACTGCTGTGTTTCTGGAAAATGCTATTAGGAAGGAAAAGCTTTTATCCAATCGAAAAATCAAGAAAAAGCTGTGGAAGAGTCAAGACCAAGCAGTTAAGCTCAATTTCTCTTTCAGTGGTACCAATACTCCAAAAGAAGTATATAGAATTAGTTTGGGCAAAATAAACTGTCCGTTACCATCCCTCCTTTACTCCTTTACAACTTACTGGTTGAACGAAAGAAACGATAAGACTTCCAAATTTATTTTACCGACTTTAACAAAAGGTTCCATAACTCAAGCCTTTGAATTCTACATATGTAGTTCGAAGGATGTACCTAGAGATGGGGTTTAATTAATTTATTTTGTAGAAAACGCAATTTAATGCAAAAGGTGTAATACAAAGTATCAAACTTTTCAGATGTGCTACCACATAATATACGACCACTGAAAAAGGAATGTCCACCAATTCAAATATAAAAGGACGAGTGTTGAAGCTTTCACTTATCAAATATTGAACGTCTTTAGAGTTGTACCAAGTTAACGAGAACACAAAAAGTGCAGTTAATTAGTGTATGACTTTTACTTTCATGACATATTACAAGCAGTTTAGTCGCCGTCAAACATTTATGACAATTTGTGCATTATTACACGATATTTAGACGTGCTTATTGCTAGTAATTTCATTTTAAATGATCCATTGCTTATTGCAGTTGGTACTGGCGAATAAGACATAAATCGTGGATTTATGGATGTTCTTGAAGTAAGTCTGTTACTTTAGAACCTCTAATCTAATTTTTTACTCTCGTGCATCTTCAAATACGTGTTACTTTCACTACACCTTCAAAGCTAAACGTTATTAACCGAAACAGCATGAGACGCATCTTACTAAAACATCAACAACGTTTCCCATGGCAAATACAGACGCAAAATCAATATTTTTGCATCTCATAAGAAAAAGTTGTAGATATTCTTTGTTTTGCTAGACTAATCTTTATTTGCACAGTTGATTTAGCAAACTAGAGGCCCATGGGAATAAGGAATCTAAATTGTAGTAAATACCAACGATAATGATAATAATCCAAGAGACGCATAGAGTAGACCGCGATAATGTGAATTATGCTAAAAAAATTATCGGTTATGGAAACAAATGTCTATTGGCCTTAAAAATCAATATTCTGTCGTTTCTGTCGCGCCTATGCTGTAAAAAAAAATATTTGGTACTTCCCCAGTCATATTAATTTAGAAATTGTTAGTGGTTGTAATATATAGCAACGAACTTGCTAGTTATAAGAAGACTAACAATAAATAAGAAAAAAGCAATTATAGAAAAACGAATCCTTAGAAAGAAGTAAAAATTTCTGATTTCTTTAGCGAAAAACAGTATTTTATTATTGTTTTATTTCTAGAAATTGTGAACGTCTTCGGTTTGAACAGTAATTAAATTTTATATTTGTATTCTCTTCCGTCAAGTATAATTTAAAAGGCATACACACAGAGGAACTTAACTTCCCTTACATCGAATAAACAAAAGTAAAATTAGAGATTTATATATACAAAAGTTATTTAATGATATAGATACATATTTAGTTAATGAATTTCCTAGTAAAAAATGTCAATTATATTTAAGATATCAACATCGTTGTTTACCTATAGTACTTATTGCTAATGGTCGGCCATTTTTGTGTTTCCATGGTTACGGTATTGTTGCTGTAGTCGGCCATTACAATTTTTAATTGTTGTCGCATTGTTGTTGTGGTCGGCCATCATGCTTTCCTAATTGTTGCCGTATTGTCGATATGTCGGCCATTACAGTTTACTAATTGCTTTGTTTTAATGAAAAATTATTTTAAGATGCTCGGATAAAACACTAGAAAAATGTAACTAAAGCAATTGTTCCAATCAAATGAATGCTTTATATTTTTTCTGTATGCATTCGTTTATCCATGACATTGAAATATTACCTAATCATGAAGGATCTAATCTGAGCTATTTTCAGATGAAACAGATATTTATTTAATAATATACACTCATTTTACTCGAAATTTGTCCAGATTAGATTCTTCTTGAATAATTTTAACAGGGAAAAGATGAATATGAACAAACAAAATCGGCTTACAAATTATAATTGCCGGGGCTAATGTATTTTAACATTGAGCTACCATGCCACTCCTTGGTAAAGTTATCTAATCCTATTATCATTATGTTATAAATGCGAGAATATCATTTAAAGGTCGCTAAATGATATTACATTTGTTGTCTCGCATTTCATAGAACGATTTACAGCAACCATTCTTCGAAAATTAAAATGCAAACATTGTCGAATATTCATGACGAAATACACGTGAAATGATGGCATATT